AATCCACCCTAACCAAACAGTTTCTCAATTACAATAGACAACTCTTCAGTCTCCCCCTCCCCTCAGGTTAAGAGTCTGGGTGTCATCCTCGACGGCACACTTTAATTCAAATCTCACATCAGTAATATCACTCGGTCTGCCTATTTCCATCTACGCAACATCAACCGCCTCCGCCCGTCCCTTAACCCTAAGACCACCGCCATTCTTGTTCACACCCTGGTCACTTCCCGCATCGACTACTGCAACTCCCTTCTCTTTGGTCTCCCTCTCAAATCCATCCACAGACTTCAACTGGTTCAGAACTCTGCTGCCCGCATCATCACCAGAACCCCCTCCATTAACCACATCACTCCTGTTCTTCAGCAACTTCACTGGCTCCCCGTCAAATCCTGTATCACCTTTAAGATTCTGCTCCTCGCCTTTAAGGCCATCCATAACCTCACTCCTCTGTACCGCTCCGACCTCCTGCACATCAACACACCCATCCGCACACTCAGGTCTTCTGCTTCCCTCAACCTCACTGCACCCCCCTTCCGTTTAACCACCATGGGGTCCAGAGCCTTCAGCCGCTCTGCACCCCGCCTCTGGAACTCTCTCCCACCTGACATCCGCAACACTGACTCTCTCCCCATTTTCAAATCACGCCTCAAAACATATCTCTTCACACTCGCATATCCACCCTGATCATTATCCATCACACATCCTCTGTTTTTATTTATTTGGTTATTTGATTGATTGATTTATATACTGCATTGTCTTGTTTATGTTTCTTATGCTGGTGTTATCTATTGTGTATCTTGTTTTTTATGTATTTGTACGGCGACCTTGAGAGCCTTGAAAGGCGCCTATATAAAATAAATGAATTATTATTATTATTATTATTATGAAATTATTATTTTCTCTCTGCCGTGGCTCCTACTAGTTAGATAAACTAATGCAAATTCATTATATCTGATAAGCAGCAATGATGATGTGAATGTGCTTCTTACTTATTGTATCTTTGCATAAAACATTACAATGAAGATATTACTGGTGGTCCGTTTAGAGCTTTATAATGAAGAGTCGGGAGAGGCGAGAAAGTGTTCATCACAACCGGCATTGAAGCACTGCTGTGTGAAATATACTGTTCCTCCACAGAGAGCCTAGCAGCGCTCTTCTGTTTTTATTAGTCCATGCTGAAATCTCAAAGATACATTACTGTTATGTATATGTATGGGATGGATCTCAGCATGCATTTTTCTGCATACAGAATTAGCTGTAGGAGTTATGCTTTGGTATTTTTCTTTCTTTTTAACTTTTAATGTAATTTCCAGTTGCTTTTTTTGCTTCACTGTCTTTCATCACTTTCTTGTGAAAAATGTTACGTTTTTAAGAGCTGAGGAAAACAGCTCTATTCCAGCTAAGGGAACTCTTCTTCTTATCTGAAAAATGTTTAAACTCCAAATCTACAGAAACTTGATTCTTACGGAGCTTACACACGGCGGCGTGCGTTGAACCTTGCCGGCGGGCATGTCTGAAGCTAGACCAACAACCAATCACCTGAATCTCCCGCCCCGGACACACAAGCAGCGGTTTGATTGGCTAGAGCTAGTACTGGCATATGATTTGATTGGCTGGCGCTTCCGTTGAAGCTTCAAAAGTAGAACATTGCTCTACTTTTGAAGCGAGCTACGCTTTGCTCCCACAATGCAGTTCGGCGAAGCGTGACGTCACCCTATTCAAAGTGAAGCTTCAACGCACGCCGCCGTGTGTAGGGGCCGTTACTTGTAAATGGCTGCATTCAGGATTTTGATTCTATTTAATATCCAGATTTATTAGGCAAAATAAAACCAATTTATATGACTAAAAGTACAAAAAAAGCAATGTGAAAGCAACTACTTGCAAACAACCGTACCTGTACTGTACCTACATTCATACCTGCATACTGAATATATTGCTGGAGCTCTTACTTGATATACTACACAATACATAACCACTGTCCTACTCACCACAGCAGAGATTATGTGCACTCTCATTGCATTACACCACCTTCTCCAGCCTTTACTCATATATAATTTGCCCTTGTGGCAGCAGAGCGGCATTCCTATGTTTCCCTAAAACCCCATTACAGCGTGCCTGCAGCACATATATCCACGGCTGATCAGCTCAATTCACGGATGTTAGCTTGACATTGATGTTATGCTAATGCAGTGCCACTCTCCTAACTGTGTCCACACACTGAGCACCTTCTAGCATTAGCTGTGAATTTTCATACAATCCACCCATAATGGAAACTATTTTTATTCAGAGGGAGAGTTGGGGGACGCCTTGCATAATCATGTCAATGTATAAATAAGCTTATACTTATTCATCTCTGTCTGTTATCATTTGTCTCTTTCAGTTTTTTGTATCACTGAAACACTGAAATCACACTTTTGTTTTACAATATGATCTTTGATTTTGTGCAATATACTGAATTCTGAATGCTCCTCAGGGATATTAAATATAAATCAGTTTGTGTGTTTATCTTTTTAAGTGCAAGGACAAGTAATGAAATTGTAATCAGTGTAACAGAATCCTCCCTGGGGTAACAATAGTGAGCCTCGATGTGATTTTTATTTTTGAAATCAATCTATCCTGCAGGCATGAGGCTCCACCTTATCAAACCCAGCATTCTAGTGGAAGTGGCAGCCTGAAGCTGGGAAAAATGCTTTCTGACGTCCTGATGGTGCGTTTTGCGTCTATGTGCCTTTTTCTTGTCCGCTCAAAAATAAATCATGCTTTCCCATGAAAATAACTAGCATATAGAATAGAACTTAAATCCACCTTTGGGTTCTTCCATGACATGATAATGAATCCTTCCTACTGCGGGTATTTAGAGTATTACTACACTCACATTTGACCAGGGGAATATCATTATGCTCTTGCTGCTAAAAATCTAAAATATTAATTTCAGGAATATATTCATGTGCCCCTATGACTCCCTTCTTCAGCAGGTTGAGTCTAGAACATTCCAAACACAACAAGGTAAAACAATATGTTGAAGCCTCATGAGAGAACATATTATGAAAACTGTGGTTAAGGAAAATGAAAGATAAATACCTTGATCTGTAAATAAATCAGTATTTAAATAAATATGTTAATTGGGGTTATCATCAAGGTTGTTTTATGCATTTTGCCAAAACAGCAAGTCAGCCTGATTTAAGTAACCTCTGAGATAAAGCATCAAAGTTCCCTCCTCTGGCCAACCCCCCCGCCCTAATAAGCTGAACAAAGCACGAGATGTGCACGTCTTAATTACAGAGCGCTCGGAGATAATGATAACACAATCTTGAAAAAAGATGCAGGCAAGCAAGCAAACACACACACACACACACACACACACACACACACACACACACACACACACAGCTGAACGGTTGAATGTTATATCAAGGTGAAAACATTTTTGAGTAAACACCTCTGTGTGCTTTATTCCTGATTCTTCTAAAATTAACACGGACAAGGTAATTTGACAACTGAAGGATCAACACTGTGATTGTGTTTAATGAAGACAAATTATTACATGGGCAACCTTCATCACGACCGGCCCTGATTTCCTCCACAGATAACTATGATGCACAATGGACACACTTTTATAACATTGTCAGGCTCACGAAGGACAGTTTTAAAATCAATGTAGCAGAATCAGAAATGTTTTATATTTCATCATTGATTTTTTCGTTCATTCTTCTTCCTGCCACCTACAATACAGACACGGTTGCTCAGACAACAACAGTTTGATCAGAGAAATGTGTTTTGCTCGCAGCAGCTAATGTAGCCTCCAGCTGCTATAGCCTCAAACTCAATATACTGAGATTTTGAGGATTTTTATAAAACGTGTCAAACTATGCTGACTTTAGTAAGGTAAAGGATCATGCCAAGTAGGGTTTGCATATGGTACAAGTAATAAAAGAATGATATAAAGATGAAAACTGTGATTCGTCTTGGGAAGGTAAATAGAAAAGCATGGCTTAGACTGCTGGCTCCACATTACATTGTTATTGTTTTGCCTCTACAGAGAAACAGTGAGTTTGCAAACACACGCACACCTTTCTTTTTTAGTCTAAAAAAAGATGCCTTCCAAGCTCACACTAAACTGTGAAAGTCTCTCCTTTATTCTAACTTCTTAAAATAATAAATCTCATTTGGAAGAGTACAATGTTTCAAGCCTCTATTTACTCTCTATCCTTCAGTTTAGAGCCAATATAGCTGTAAATGTTGTTAGGAAGAGAGGGATTAGTTCGTTTACAGCGAGACACAACACACTATTGCTCTAAAAGCTGCTTGAGCACGGCATCTAAACGGTATCCATGGTGATGGATGTTTCCTCCTCATGGTGGAGAGTCTTGTGTATCCCGGTTTACCTGTTTGCTTATACATTCCTCTGTAATGTGGAGTTTATTCCACAGCTGTGATCGTGACATGTGAGGGCTAGTGAAGAGGGATCCGTTTGGGAGAGTGAAGATGTCCTTTGCTTGATGAATGTACACAATTATGCACAAAAATACTTATATTTTAATTGGGAATGATTTTAAAGTAGGGCAAGAAACCTTGAAAAACAAACACCCGTTAGCTTTTAGAGTGAATGTGCAAATGTATAGATTTGTTTTCTAATTTGTGTTCCCTTGTGATTACTAGAGTCTCCAGAAGAAAAAAAATCTAGAGTCAGAGGGTGTCTTATCCCAGATATAAAGCCCCCTGAGAAATATTTGTAATTTATGATATTCGTCAATGTAAATAAAATCCAATAGATGTATGTGACGTGTAGCTGTGTTGCAAAGAGAGAAATGTCAGTCATAGCAGGAGTTCAGTGGCTGCAAAACTGTGTGGAGGGATGGGTGGAAAAGTGTTAAGGAGTGGCAGGCAGTCCAAAGGGAGGGACCCTAGGAGACCCCTAAAAGCTGATGCACGGCCACTGACTCACATTCAGTTGTTAGACTACAGAGCCTACCTAAAGATAAGCTTATAATAAGTGCATCATGGGAAAACAAAGAGACATTTTGAAGAAACTGGCAGGGACCTTTCAGATCCGACATGTGCTCCTCCGCCAGGCCATGGCAGAGTGCCTGGGAACCTTCATTCTGGTGGTGAGTAGAGAGTGTTCTGATTCTACTGCAGGGCGCTGAGGGTATGATTCTGTTCAAGGAAAACAAGGACTGTAGACTACATTGCTAGACATGTACTCAGTATAGAGTTGTTTCTAACTCAATTCGAAATGTAATTAATGTTTTTCCTATTATTCTCTGATGCCATTTAATTGAATTGAATTGGGATGTAAACTGTCCAATCATAATATTTATTAAACCAGGGGAATGAAATGTACAGTTGGTAGCACTTAAATAAGAGTCTAGAATATCTGCATGGTTACCATGACAGTTTGCAAGCCTCATAAATTGTTCCTTTAGCAGCTGTTTCTATTGGCTATTTTTCACTTAGAAATGTAATTATTGTGAGGTAGTTTCGATAGTCTTCGATAAAAGGAGTTCAGTCAGACAACTCACGTGTTTCTTTAACATGTTTATTAGAAGCAGCATATAGTTGAGTTTGGCATCTAGGCTCGGGCCTCATCACTCCACAGATATACATAGCACGATGAGTGATGATTAAATAACTATCCCCCGAGCATACAGGTGGAAGCTGGGGTGGAAGCTGGGGTGGTGGTGGGGCAGGCAAGCAGCAGCGACGTGGAAGTAGCTGCAGCAGCAGCAGCAGCAAGCAAAGCATAGAGAGAGATCTGGCAGGTTAAATTGAGCGGCATATTAAGGAGACTCTGTTTGGTTGGTTGTAGAGTGGCAAGGGGCGTTATGTATGAATGCAGCATAAGTGCTCGAGTTGACTGCCTGAACTAGCTCGCAGGCTTCGCCCCATTTGTTTAACATATGAGATGAAAGTTATGATCGTATCTGAACATATGAACATTGTGAAGTGAGTGACAACTAACAAGCCATTTGTGTTATCCAAGCAATCAATGAATCAAACCAACAATTAAAGATGCAAGATGAGACACATCAACATAAATGGTTTAAATAAATGTTCTCACTAAAAACATTCTGAAGCCTTCCACCAGCCTTTCTGTTCAATGTGAGAAAAAACAAAAGGTCTTTTGAAAATACCCCAAGGGATTCTGTCTCCTCCTCGTCCAACATGTTTGTGCAGAGAAAAGGTGAGGGTGCTATCGAGTCTGTTTAGTTGTTTCATGAGAAACATAGTTAATACTTCTTTTATCCTCCAGTGCTCTTCTGTAAGACTGATTTGATGTTCAAAGGCAACTTTTACAGCAGCCTTTAAAAAATTGTAAAGAAAGTTTAACTGCTGCTCTCTCCTCATTAAATTGCTGCTTTCTTATATTTCTAGGAGGCAAAGAAACACTGAATAATTTAGACTACTCATAATAACTTAGCATCTCAGACTGCATTCATTATTGCCTCTTTTTTCTTTCTTTGTACTTTAATTCACACAAAACCATACTGTGTTATATCCATAGTTTCTGCTAATGACATCCAAACATCTGTAAGATTCCTTAAAATTAAGTTAAAAGGTTTTTCTGCCTGTGCAAAACAACCTGGAATCCATCTGTTCCTCGTGGTAACCCGCAGAAAACACAAATATCAGCTGAGCACACCGATGGTGAACACCGGGACATTTGTTATGCTGCCCCCCAGCTGGGACTGGTCTGTTAATTCCAGGAGTCTTCAGTCCACTGGGGGTCCGGTCCCTCGGTGGTCAGAGCGGGACCTCCGAGGAGACGGCTCTGCGGGGGGGGGTCAGATTGTTGTCTGCATCAATAGTTCTACTCAGAGCCCGGCCATAACACACACATGACCTCCGAGGTCAGAGAGACACACCCTGGATCTGACGGAGAGCAGGTCTCAGCTAGAGATCTGACTGGAGGTCAGGCAGCTGTGGAGCTCTATTATTCTCTCTCAAGTTTTTCTACTATTGTCTGTCTTCACATATAACTTCATGACAGGGTTGGAGTTTTCAACTTTACTGCTTATGGATTGGATCTCCAAAAAAAGTGTGTGCTTAAGGAAATGTTGCGAAAGCGTTTCTTTAGTAGATCATTCTAGGGATTATTTGTCTAACGTGTACAGTACATACAGTACGTCATTTTTATGTAAAAAAAAATACATCTTTGATGTATGTCCCGAAACTATATTTAAGGTTACTATAGTTTAATATGCTATTTATGTCACTCAGTTTTACTTAAATTGCTGCTACTAATTTTTTAGCCATGGTTGTCTTTATTTAAATTTGATAACTAATGTGTGCTTCTCCTTTAATTGATTGCATGCCTTCTTTACCTGCTATGACACTCTGTAACACTGTAAATGTCCCCGCTGTGGGACTGATACTCTGATTGTGATTCTGACCCTGTCCTCTCTCCAGATGTTTGGGTGTGGGTCAGTAGCCCAGGTGGTGCTGAGCGGAGGCTCCCACGGCTCCTTCCTCACGGTCAACATTGCTTTTGGTTTTGCTGCGACTTTGGGCATCCTAGTGAGTGGACAGATCTCAGGTGAGGAAACTGTATTTTAAGGGGTCAAGGTTTCACTGTTTCCTTTAACCTAATGTTCTGTTTGGTGACCCAGTGACCCCAACCCCCTCTTCTTTCAGAAAAAGAAACATTACTTCTGTTTGAAGCAGTATAAAGCATTTAGTAAGACCACCACAGAGCGGCCATCACACTCTATACCTCCTCACCCTTCAGTAAAGAGAACGGAGAACTTCCACACCACCACTATGTTCAATTTAAATAGCATTTTCATCATTACAGACACTTCCTACTTTCTGCTTATAACATGTGCAATATTAACTTGTAAATGACGTAACTGCCACTGCGTTCTTTGCACTATTCAATACTGCTCGTCACTGTAAATGTATTTTACATGCATTATGTGACTGCTATGTTTCTTGAAGTTATCTGATTTGCTCATTTGTTACTTTTATTATTATGCTGCTGTGTTTATTGCATCTTTGTAACTCTGGCACAACAATTTCCTTCGGGATAAATAAAGTCCTAGCTTATCTTATCTTATCTTATCTTAGTACAATATTTCCATATCTTTTCGTTTTTCATTTTAATGTATTTCTTACACATCATTATTTGTTCGAAATCCCAGATAAGTCTTAATACAGTTTTTTCTTTCTGTCTTTGTCTCTTAATTACAGGAAATAAATATATATTTATTTTAACATAGCCCATAATAACGTATATAATATGTCCTTATTTGGTGTATTAACAGTGCCTTGTGGTCTATTCTGTGTTTTTGTCACCATCATTAGATATAAAGGTTTATAGCCCGGAACTGCCTTTTCGATGCCTTTCTATACATTTTAATGAGGTTGGAAAAACATTGTTGAAAGGAAAAAAAGGGCTGATTCTGTAATATTGTTAATACTATGATTATTATGTATTCATACACGCAGCAGCAAAAGCCTGTGTTTACAAATCCATCCATCCATCCATCCATCTTCTCCCGCTTATCCGTGGTCGGGTCGCGGAGGTAGCAGTTCCAGCAGAGAGCCCCAAACGTTCCTTTCCCTGGCCACATCAACCAGCTCTGACTGGGGGACCCCAAGGCGCTCCCAGGCCAGCGAAGAGATATAATCCCTCCACCTGGTCCTAGGTCTACCCCTCGGTCTCTTCCCAGCTGGACGTGCCTGGAACACCTCCCTAGGGAGGCGCCCAGGTGGCATCCTTACTAGGTGCCCGAACCACCTCAACTGGCTCCTTTCGACGCGAAGGAGGAGCGGTTCAACTCCGAGTCCCTCCCGGATGACTGAACTTCTCACCTTATCCCTAAGGGAGAGGCCAGCCACCCTGCGGAGAAAACCCATCTCGGCTGCTTGTATCCGCAATCTCGTTCTTTCGGTCATGACCCATCCTTCATGACCATAGGTGAGGGTAGGAATGAAAATGACAGTCCCTCAACACCCAGAGCCTTCAGCATTTCTGGGCGGATCTCATCCACCCCCGGGGCTTTGCCACTGTGGAGTTGGACAACCTCAGTGACCTCCCCCCGGGAGATTGGTGTTGATCCCCCGTCATACTCCAGCTCTGCCTCTACCATAGAGGGTGGAGTTGTCGGGTTCAGGAGTTCCTTCAAGTGTTCCTTCCAACGCCCTAACACTCCATCAGTTGAGGTCAACAACGTCCCATCCTTACTGTCCACAGCTTGGATGGTTCCCTGCTTCCCCCTCCTGAGGTGTCGGACAGTTTTCCAGAACAACTTTGGTGCCGCCCGAAAGTCCTTTTCCATGTCTTCTCTGAACTTCTCCCACACCCGCTGCTTTGCCTCGACCACGGCTGAGGCTGCTGCCCTTCGGGCCTGTCGGTACCTTGCAACTGCCTCGGGAGTCCCCCGGGATAACAAATCCCTGAAGGCCTCCTTCTTCAGTCGGACGGCTTCCCTGACCACCGGTGTCCACCAGGAGGTTCGAGGGTTACCGCCCCTTGAGGCACCTAAGACCTTGAGACCACAGCTCCCCGCCGCGGCTTCGGCAATAGAGGCTTTGAACACCGCCCACTCTGGTTCAATGTCCCCAGCCTCCACAGGAATGCCCGAAAAGCTCCGCCGGAGGTGTGAGTTGAAGGCCTCCTGAACTTGGGCCCCCTCCAGATGTTCCCAGTTCACCCGAACTACACGTTTGGGCTTACCAGGTCTGTCCAGAGGCTTCCCCCGCCACTCGACCCAACTCACCACCAGATGGTGATCAGTTGACAACTCCGCCCCTCTCTTTACCCGAGTGTCCAAAACATACGGCCTCAGGTCCGATGATACGATAACGAAATCGATCATGGACCTTCTGCCTAGGGTGCTCTGGTACCACGTACACTTATGAGCATCCTTATGTTCGAACATGGTGTTTGTTATGGCCAATCCATGACTAGCACAGAAGTCCAGTAACAAACCACCACTCCGGTTCAGATCAGGGGGGCCGTTCCTCTCAATCACGCCCCTCCAAGTGTCTCCATCATTGCCCACATGTGCGTTGAAGTCTCCCAGCAAGATGAAAGAGTCCCCTTCAGGAGCCCCATACAGGACTCTTTCCAGGGTCTCCAAGAAGGCTGTATACTCTGAACTGCTGTTTGGTGCATAAGCACACACAACAGTCAGAGTCTCCCCCCCCATAACCCGCAGGCGTAGGGAGGCGACCCCCTCGTCCACTGGGGTAAACTCCAACAAAGAAGCACCCAACCGGGGGCTTGTGAGTATCCCCACACCCGCCCGGCGCCTCACACCTTGGGCAACTCCGGAGAAGAATAGAGTCCAACCCCTATCCAGAAGTAAGGTTCCAGAGCCGACGCTGTGCATAGAGGTGAGCCCAACCAGATCCAACTGGTAACGCTCCACCTCCCGCACAAGCTCCGGCTCCTTCCCCCCCAGATAGGTGACGTTCCACGTCCCCAAAGCCAGCTTCTGTCGCCCGGGTCTGGTCCGTCGAGACCCTCTGCTTTCACTGCCACCCTTCTGGCAGCGCACCCGACCCCATCGCTGTTTCCCGTAGGTGGTGGGCCCGCGGGACGGAGAAGCGGAGGTGTTGCCCACGTTGCCTTTTCGGGCTGTGCCCGGCCGGGCTCCGTGGCAAGCCCGGCCACCAGACGCTCGCCGACGAGTCCTCCTTCTGGGCCTGGCCCCAGAAGGGGACCCTGGGCTTCCTCCGGGCCGGGTATACCTTATTAAGATAAAGAAAATGTTACTTAGTTAAGCCACAGTCATTTGCATCCCTGTCATGAAGCAGCTGTCATTCAGAGAGTTGACTCAGCTTTTTGTCTCCAGCTTATAAGCATAATAAGGAGTGATTATTATTGATGGCTTGACAGACACTAAATATCAACAAAAGGGTAAACTGGTTATCTGAAGTGCTGTATTTACCACAGTGATGTGTGTGCCTGACATGATGACAGCTACAGGCAGGGGGGGCAGAACAGGAAGCAGTGGGCAGAGGAATGCAAAAGAGATACACACAGAAGGCTGGGGCACTTCCCCCTGAACTTGAACACTACGTGGTCTGTAATTGAAAGGAAAGTGAGAGTCAATCCTCAATCCTAGTATCCTCTGTCAAAAGCAGCAACACTAAAAAGGGCTGCGCAGTTCATTCATGCTCAATTCTTCAATGCTTTTATAATGAGGCTGCTCGCCTTTAACACACATTGCAGCTGGGAAAATAAGCTCTTATAATTAGATAGCTCCTACCATGACATGATTAAGGTGTGAAAAGAAGCGAGGCACCCACGAGTGTGCCATCAGAGAACTTATTTTCACCTTCAAGGTTAGAAAAAGGAATACTTCTGAATCTTTTCATCCCTCCAATTTAATTTGTTCCATCCCAACAGGACTTTACTGAAAACATACTTACTAAATATATAGGCTAACAACACTCTTCTAGGAAAAGGGTGGGGGGCTGCACTGTATGCAGTAGCAATAGCAATATGATGTGTTCCTGCCAGGAATCAGATAGAATATGTATGTGTTTATAAAATTCATTCAATTCTCCATATTTTTCTCATCTGTAGGTGGTCATCTGAACCCAGCTGTGACCTTCTCACTGTGTTTACTTGGGAGAGAGCCCTGGAGGAAGTTCCCGCTGTTCTTTTTCTTTCAGACTCTCGGTGCCTTTCTGGGGGCAGCAGTTGTATTTGGCATGTATTTTGGTACGTGACACTAAAGATGATTAATCTAAAAATGTTAAAGTTGAACTGCCACACACCTATAATCCTTAGACAAATCATGATTGTTGTTTACTCAGTGGTAGATTTACAGGTCGTAGCAGGGGACACAAGATGGATGCACCCCGAGGACTAAAACTATTTTGAAACTTCGATTTCCTTGAGTAAATGGCAGCTTGGTGGAGACAATTAAAAATGTACAACCTGTTATAGCTTTGTGCCTGACAGTTTGAACAAAGCCAAATGGTTGTTTGCTCTGAGGGAACAAGAACAAATGAACATCCAGACCTTCTCTTGACAAAATGTAACCTATTTTGTGGCTTACTTCTACTAAATACCCTACACAAGGGATCAATCACCACACTTACACTTTATATAACCCTAACCCTTCATAAATCCCTTTTTAAGGTAAAAACTGTGAAAGCAGAGGCTTGAGATGCCTAGAACACACAATTTATCCAACGACATGGCGATTCACAGGAAACTAGACCTTCCTAGTAATCAGCGACAACAACATCAACCCCAACCAAGGCAACAATATTCCCTTCCTTCAGCTAGACATGAGCCAGAGTTGAATCAATCAAAGTCAAAGTCTGCCAGGACCCTACCACTCAGCCAATTTTGTCATTTTTTCCATTGGCCTCAATAGAAACCCCAAACATAACCTCCAAGAACTTGCAACACTCTTCACGCACCGCCTTTCCAAACACAAACGTATACATCCCCCCTGAACTTATCCTCAAATCTCACCTCAGCACAGCACAATAACCTCCCAATAATCAACACTACCATAGTCAAACACTTTCCGACACTCACAGGGCTCCCACAAAACAAATTCCAGACCGAGGACAATTACCTGACTTGGACCAGAGCTACAGCCCAACACATTCAGGAACTGGTGCAATCAACTCCAACTCTACCAATACCACAAATAATTACACACCCACCCACCCACAGATTGGAAGGCCAGTGCAATCTAATCCTGACCCAGAAACCTCAAACCCCGACCCCAACATGACCCTACCAACAAAACCTTTTTGAAGGTAAAAAAACTGTGAAAGCAGAGGCTTGAGATGCTTACAACAGGAAGTGGTGCACAATTTCTAGTCTGACCTTTGTTGGATCTCTCTCCACTAATCCTGTCATCTTTGTTCTTGTACCATCTAATAGGGGCATAAAGTTATAATTAATAAACCATAAATGTCAACCCTTATGATGCCGCTAGAGACAATGTAATTGATACAGTGTCTGGAAACTATAAATGTCTACTATGAAAGAAAGTCAAAACATTGGCAAAGTTAAATTGTATTAATAAAAACAAATGTAACGATGTGTACGTTCTTCCACCAGATGCATTATGGGACATTAGCCAGGGAGAGCTGATCGTAGTGGGGAATAATGCCACAGCTGGGATTTTTGCCACATATCCATCCAAACATCTCTCCTTGGTAAATGGATTCTTTGATCAGGTAACAGTTTATTTACATTACATTACATTACATGTCATTTGTTAGACGCTTTTATCCAAAGCGACTAACATACATTGAGTACTGTGGACAATCCCCACAGGAGCAACTTGGGGTGAAGTGTCTTGCCCAGGGACACAACAACATGCTGACTGCAGTGGGACTCGAACTCTCTACCCCCTGATTCGAAGTCCATCACACTATCCACTGAGCCACAGCCTCCCTGAGCCCATATTTCTCAAATGTATCACCCCTACTCAGAACAACAGCTGATCCATATAAATCAGCATGCTCTGTCCCACAGGCCAAACACTCCTGCTTGAGTACTGCACAAGTACTGTAAAACAATATAATGTTGCATCAATGTCTATTGTTTCTGGTATTCGGCAATAGACTCCATTCGCGTAATTTGAAAGTTTGATTGAAAAAGAACACAATCACAGACCTTGACGCATGTCTGCTGGAGCTGAATAGACAGCGGCATTGACTCAAATCAAAGTTTGTCTTCAAGAAAAGATTGAAAAATATGAGTCACATCCATTGTAGATATTGCACTACAGACATACTGTACTGTATGAAGGCAAAATAATTGCATGGCTCCACTGCTGGAGCCCAAAATGTATATTCCTCAGAAGTATTACATGGAAATCTGGCACTCCTGTAACAGCCTGATCACCAATCACATCACCTGGGCTCCTTTCACACTCTTTAACCTTTCAGAAGAAGCGAGCGGTGTATTGAGCAGGACAGTGTCACTATTCATTTGATCTGATTGTCTTAACTTGGAATCTGTGTAGAACAGCTTGTAAGTGTGAGAGGAAAAGCAAGGTCAATTAGATCCCGCTCTGCCAGAAGATTCAAATAATGGAGGATAGCTTTGTGCACAGTGTGTGTTCTGTATGATCAAAAAGAGCTTACATTCCAATACTTGATGCAGTGTTTGTTGTTCACTACATTTTCTGAGCAAGTAAAGGTGTATATTGACAACAGACATCGACCGTTTTTCCTGAACAATTGCAGGTAGTATGCATATTCTATTAAATGGTTAAAAAGACCAATAACAGCTGTATACTAGGAATGCCTTACAATTATCAGCAAACTATCTCTTATATAAACACCAGCCTAGGAAACAGCTTGTTATTCTTAAGTTAAAGGTAGGGTAGGTAAGTTTGAGAAACCGGCTCGAGTGCGCTAGAATTTGAAAATACACAACCGGAGAAAATCTGCCACTTCCTTACAGAGCCCCTCCTCCAACACACACGAACGCGCACATGACCAATGAGGGCACGAGATAAGTTTGAGCACAGATGGAAGGCTGACAGGCAGGTAGGCCATCCAGTTATTTTAGCCGGGCCGGCTAAAATGATTGGTCGTGCTTTTTACAGTACTACGGCTTCCACAGATGATATTTCTTTATGGATTTTTTGTCAAAGCACTTAAGATATTCATTGCTATCGGGATGTTAAGAGCATTCCATGGAATATAACAAAAAGTGTATCTCGAGCCGGTTTCTCAAACTTACCTACCCTACCTTTAACCTTTTCAAGACCCTTATTGACACTTAAAAAACACTTCCTCTGAGCTGGCGCCAGCAAAACAACCTCACAAAAGCTGTATAGGGTACCTGCTGTCCAGGGTGGGCACGAGCCACAGCTGCAGCCCTCATATAGACCCTGACTCATCACAGCACGTAGAGGAATCAATACCATATCCACTGTGTGCATATACTGTAAAACTGTACTGTTCAGGCATGAAGTGATTCAACCATGCCAATTGAAAGACAGCCCATACGTTCACCTCTCTTGGGGGGCTTGATGTCAGATCAGTGGACAGTGCAATATCTATGATGTGCTGTTTTCTGATGTAAAGGTTCACAGAGTTCACAAAATAAGTTTTCATTTTGACAGCTCGTCAATTGTCATAGTTAAAATAAAGGTGCATCATCATCAGCAGGACTACTTGTTCTCAGTAATACAAATGAATAAGGATCAAATTAACTTTAATAAAAAGCATTAATAGATCCTTCTCCCTGCATGATGTCTTAGATTATTGGAACAGCTGCATTGATCGTGTGTATCCTGGCCATAGTGGACCCTCGAAACAACCCCGTCCCTCGGGGTCTGGAGCCCCTCACGGTGGGCCTCGTGGTGCTGGTCATCGGCCTGTCGATGGGCTTCAACTCTGGCTATGCTGTGAACCCAGCCCGGGACCTGGGGCCACGCATCTTCACCGCTCTGGCAGGGTGGGGAAGAGAGGTTTTCACGTGAGTAGAGAACTACTTTGGAATGCTTTACAATAATTAGGTTGTCAGGGTGTTGGAGGTGTGGACCCAAAAGCAGTACAAACAGGGAGGCAGGTGTAGGGAAGCAAAAGAAAAGGAGAGCTTTTATCAAATTAAAAGCTGGTTTCACGACAAAAACGTCAGGAGCAGGCGAGGAGGAACAAAAGGAAAGTACCAAACAAACCGGGAACACACAGGAGGGCAGACCAGGGAAATCCAGCAGGACGTCAGACCAAAACCTCACGAAACGAGGAACCGACAAGGAACGCAAGACTAAATACACAGGGGTAATCACAAGACACAGCTGGAGAGGGGAGGTGAAACACAATCAGACAATCGAACAGGAGGGAAAACACAGGAAGGAAGAAAAGACACAGGGAGAACGGAATTTCAAAACAAAACTGGAAACTATACACACAAAGCTGAAATCATGACAGGTTGAGATATGGACACCACCTATAAGTGGATCCAGAAATGTAATTAAGATTTTCAATTGCCATTAAAAGAAAATGTCATTTGAAATCAGATTAATATTACAAAATATTGGATTAGGATGAACGTTATTCCATTGCTAAGTTTCACAATGCTACCCTGCAGTATAAGTAAAAACGAAATAGGCCCCTCCTTCACCAGCTGCAACACTAATGTGATGAACACTACTGTCGTTCCCTGCCAAGTAAACTGACATGTGTTTAATAGCGTGCCCCTTCATTACATTTTGAATGATTCAATATGGGCATGGCTCACATGCTCTCTGACCCGTAACGCTGCATCTCTCTAACATCAGCTGTGCATTCATATTTTATTCAGGCCGGCTGTGGTACGGAAGGTAAACAGAATAAAAGAATGATAAGGACAACATGTATAACAGATTTCTCCCATTCTCTTGCAGGGCAAACACCTACTGGTTCTTTGTGCCCCTCTTTGCCCCCTTCCTGGGGGCAGCCGTGGGGGTTCTGATCTACCAGCTCCTGATCGGATACCATTTAGAAGGAGAAGTGCAAAAAAAGCAGGAGGAGGAAAGGTCCAAACGATCCAATATGACAACCAACGAAGAAGCATAAGCTTTTTACAATTTAATGGCAGCAGGTGACATCCTTGACTAATAATTATGTATTTGCTGTTAAGGAAAACTTCTCTGTTCACCAAACTCTAAAACTAACATTAGCCTTTGGAAAGCATGCACCATCAATCAATACTCATGAAGACATCTAATGATATCTTATCATAGGCAGAACAGTTTCTCAGGAAATGATTCTTTCTGAATTCAATTTCACTTAACTCCAGTGAGCTCTTTCATTTCCGCTTTAAGCAATCCATGCTGCGTGTCTGACAAAACAAATGTATCAGATCACAGAAGAACGCTAAATAAAAGAGTTGAAGAGGTATTTGAATGGTGTCCTGTTTTTTTCTAACTGAGGTGGAAGAAGCCTCCAAATCACCATCAAATCAAAGTTACATTCACACTTCTTGTACTATTCTTTTGTTGTTGTTTGAATAGTTACATTTTCTTCGTATACACACCTAAGTAAGACACATCTTTACATATTTTGTGTCAGATTTTGAAACGGGTAAAACTTGTCTTCAAGTTCCCACCCCCCAAACATTTGTTTTTTATATATTTGTCTGAATAAAAAATGTTTCCAAACTAAGTAAAAACCATCAAGTGATTGATTCTGTGTGACTTGTGATGACCTTTTTAAGTATATTCGCTTTTCTTTATAAATGAACAAGTAAGCTACTTTTAGTTGACCTGCTCTGTGTAGAATCTACCTGGCTCAGAAAATAACAGATGGTTTATAGTAAGAAACATGAGATGGTAAACACCTCTCTGTGATATGTCATTTGTTTCGTATGGATGGCTTTTATATTAACCAAATTAGAGAAGCCCCTAGAGGGAATATTTCCCAAAAATGGAAACGGTTCGCTGTGTTTTCAAGTGAAAAATAAAAGGGTTGGTTTATGAGCAGAAGTTTACCTCAGAGACTCACAGGCATGCAAATAGTGACATTTGCTGCATTATAAATGCCCTCTGAACGGTTAAAAAGCCCCTCTGGGTTTATAGTGCCTCAGGTGGTTATCTGTTAGAAATTCGATCTCAGCTTGAAAGGGCACTAAGGACAAAAAAGGTCAGGGGTATTTACTCAAAATAACACTCAACAACCATAAGACAGCAAAGCAAAACACACACACACACACACACACACACACACACACACACACACACACACACACACACACACACACACACACACACACACACACACACACACACACACACACACACACACACACACACACACACACACACACACACACGAAGTGTATATCTTCAGCAGACGTCCATCAATGCTCAATTACCATTATCAGAGAAGCAAACGCATATTCTGCATCAAAATATCAGTAATGACATTTTTGGTGTGTGGAAAAGAATATCAATAAGTCAGATCTTACAAAGGCTTAAACTTCAGAGACGGATGTTTGACATTTGGAGTCCCTCTCTGGCTTGCCCTTTGAGCAGTTCACCAAACATATCCATTGTCAATCTAACCATTTGCCTCTGAAATGATAATTCATCTTCCTGCTGCCTCGCAGAACAGACGCTTTAGCTTTTGTATTTTACAACATGTCGTCGTATAACAAAAGTGAGGTTCAAACAAATGTTCCATTATAAATATGCAAGGTCTGTTTATTTGAAAAGCGTAAGAGTAAATTCAAAAATGCACTCTTCATTTCCTATGCATTGGACTCAGTCTTCTATGCATGCTGGAGCAGAAGTATGGCAGAAATGAAAAATGTTATCTATGACCAGAAAATAAAATCAGCAACATGAACCGCAAGAGTAATAACAACCATCTTCGTGCTCGACACATTTGTTTGTTGGCCTACCTCGATTACACTGCAACAAAATATAAAAAATCATACACATGGGTCGCAGATTTTCATTTAAAATAAACCTGCAGAATAATAAATGCCGTATTCAACCTAATCTCTATGTCATGTCCCAGAGACATTTCAGAACAAGCAAAGCCAAATACAAGCTTGAACCACAGCGCCACTGTGTGGCCAAGTGAGGAATCTGCAGCTCTTTGACCACTGAGCAGTATTGTGAGGAAGGCACACTAACACCTCAGGTAGGGATGAAGTACCATAAAGCGCAAAACATTAAAGTACTTGTGTTGAATTTGCTGCAAATGTAAAACTAAACTGATATTCTGTGTTGGCCAATTTCCAAAAACCTAAAAGTTTGATTTATATTCATGCCAGATAACATTCTAATAAATCATTATCCAAACAAACCTCTTTTCATTACTATTTACTTTGGACTAAAACGTGTCTGTCCTTTCAAACTGATTATTGCGGCACATGTCTGAACTGGTGGATGCAGACACAGACTGTTTTATAAATAAATATAAAGAAAGACATATTGTCCTTGTATCCTCATTCATGAGAATTTCCCTTCCACGATGCACTCACTAACTCCCTTCCATTGCTTCGCAGTACAACAGGAATATCATTTTACACAAAGCGTGGCGAAATACATACGTTCATTCTGTAACAATGTCCTGTAATGGAATACTGCCACGGTAAACACATTACACTCAGCAGGAAAACATGTGTTGTGATGACTTAGGTAATTACCTTTCACGTGACCTGCTGCAGATATTATCTTTGTGTGTCACTCGTGATCCAGATGAGTTGAAGTTGTTATGTAAGTCTTAGTCACACTAGGTTCTAGAAATGTCTGAATAGCACCTTAACCCCCAGCCAGACACATTAATGGACTACAGAAGTACATTTTTGGGTTGATTCAACTACGGTTGTCACAAGACATGTCCAAGACTTTGATAATGGTTAATACATCTGTACATAAATTGTCAAAGGCCCCCTATGGGGTTTTTGACCACACTGTATGTGAGGATGCTAATTCATTTTGTTCGAGAGTGGTCGACACACATGCATGTGCAAGCAATCTATGCAATAAGCATTCCTGCTATGGTTTCACACTACTCCACTGATCTAAAGGTGATTCCAATGTGCCAAGAAAAACACTGCCCAAACAACAGAGGCAGGAGAACAATAAGACTGCTAACAAGTCAACATCAATGGAGGCAATGCAGTAACACTGACTTTAAACAAAGACTTCAAAGACATCTTTGTAAGAAAAGTCCACAGAGCACCTTTAACTTTGATCACAAACTATGTTCATCTCAAAAATAAATATATGGCAAAGTGAATCTCAATACTAATCAATACAAATACTTGTCCAAAGCCAGAATCGATCAAATACACAAATAAAAACGCAATTGACAAAATGTTTGGGACGACAACAAAAGTATTAATTTGAAGAAATAAAAACAACCCAACCTACACCAATAGGGGTCAGTATTCTGTACAGTAAATCCATTTTTTTATTATTTAAAAAATAAAACAATTATAATTAGGACGTTTTTCAAAATAAAATCTTAGATAAATAAACTTGTAGTGTGGAATATATTTGTAAAATGATTTAAAATGTTCTTTTTATTTTAGGATCATGATCAAAAATCAATAAGTCTACTTTCTCTTTATAAACCCTGTCACAGCAATGCATTCTCTGGTTTGATACAGGTTGTCATTCTGCAGAGCACTGCTGCACACAGCCACTGTTTACACACATCCAAATCTGTAAATCCTTCTGATGAATGCCAATTTCGACATAACATCAATCACTATTGTGCTATTCCCGTAAATCTTTGACATATTCATATTCTTCAAAAAAGTTCAATATTTATGAGTGTGACTTTGCTTCTTGGCCTTTTCTGTACCCAACCCACTTTTGCATGCCTGAATTTCTAAATCGCAGCTATGCGTGGTGACAGATCCCGTCATTACAAAGCAAAAAATACAGTACACAATGAAAAACTGATTAGCATGACTCAACAGAAGACACTCCACGCCCATGACAGCTATGTCTGAGGAAGATAATCCGACAGTTTGGCTTCCTTGCACTTTTAAGATTTTAAGACAAATAATAAGCTGTTAAGATGCAAATGTATCTAGTTTATCTTCATGTGAAAAATTCGAGGATTAGAGGGAAACGATCACATAGTTAATGTTGTAAAACGATTGCAGGTTTGGTTTGGTCAACTCAACTTGATAGTTAGGTTTAGGCAGTAAAACTAGTTAGAAAATAGATCCTGATTGTGGTTGAAAAAAGTATGTTTGTTAAGCTAAGGATGTGATGTTATCATTATAAAGTATCTCAACTTTTTGTTCCTCAGGGGTTAGGGTTACGGTTAGGGTTAGGCAAGCACAAAATGATCACACTTAATACTACATCAGTTCCTGCTGTGAGCAAGTATTAATGACGTGGGTAGGTTAACATCGGAGTCAGTTAATAGCTCTGTGAATAACAAACAGGAGGGACCCCCCAGTTGCATTACTTGAATCCCTATGAATATGAAAGACCAGGAATATTAAGAAATACAGAAATACATGTAGGGAAATTGAGGATAATATTTGAAAGACAAAAAAGCAATACAGACATCTTTTGTGTTCCGATATGTTACATTGTATTTCTCTATTCAGCATTCACAGATAAAGGCCAGCAGTAGTTACAAAATGATTAAATACAGCAAGCAATACCTGTTTCATTGTTTCCATGGCTACTGTTATTGTAACCTGTCCACTGACTGAAGGTCCAAGATGTCTGTGTGCAGTTACATTTATGTTTACTGCTATTAACTACAGGAACTCCAGGTTTAATTGGCTCCCAGAGATTATATACAAAGTCCATTTAATGTTTTACTGCTAAATATATAATGATACATGATATGGCAAAAACAATAATTTACAGTGACATCTTCTTGTTGGTTGGTCATAAAAATGGTGTTTTATTAGAGGAAACATTGTTTTGTGACAGGCTATATTTGTAGCCCTTGGGTTAAATACCACAACACTGTCAGAGGAAATGACAATTGGGCTGTTATGAATCAATGTGTGCATGCAACAACCATTCAGCAGTGACTTTAAGTGCAGACGATGCGGGATTCAAGGTCTCACCAATCACCAACCTGCTTATTACTGCCGGTGTTAACTCCTTTAAAAACATCCTAGCTGTGTGTCAGGTACTGCTGGGATAATCACAATACACTCAGGTGCAATGCAAATGGTCTACGTGTAAAAAGCCACATGAGACACACCAACTAGTTTGTGGCTTGATTAATTCAGCTGTTTTATGATTATATGTCTATTCATCCAATTCAACCATTGTGGTTTTGCAATATAAAAATGTGCAAATTACGACAAATTTAAGTTAAAAACGTATCAATGGAAAATACCACAGTGGGCATCAGAGAAGCTTAAATTTAGTAAAACTTTTATCTACCTCTGAAATATTTATTTTGCGATTCATTCACAATTAAATAAACAGATCTCCAAATGTAATCCATCAGATTTGTTCTCTTATTGAGGGTTAAACAGCTGTTTGTTTTTCTTCAGGCTCTTTATGCCAACATTTATTTTCCTGCATGGATATTTGAAAACAATGGCAACTATTGTTTTAACAAATCCATGGTCAGGTCACAGACTAAAACTCCCCATGTAATCCATCAATTTGAGTTAATGCCAAACACATTTTTCAAACGTTAATGATGATTGTACAGGTGTGTGTTCACCATACACATGTTCTATCAAGCTCCACATTTAAATTTGGAGGAATTAGTGATGAAATACTTCTAATTTTGCCTTTAAAACGGCAACTGGCCTATTTTCAGTGCAGACCTTTAACATGTGATAGCAGGAGCAGCACAGGTGCAGTGAGTTAACATTGATGTGCTGGATCCACAGAGTCCATTAGTCATGTAATTATTCACACCTGCAGCGACCCTGCATCCATTAAAGTTATAACTGCTTGAGAGGGACGCAGTTGCAGTACACAAATCAATTTTGCGCCAGTGAAATTAATAAATCACGAGATTAATGCAGACGCCAGTTGGGAATTGCTTAAGAAAACATGCAGCATATGTAACCGTGAATAAATGTCTCTGTACTATTATTAATGTGCCGTAATGAATCAATTACAATAAGATTACCTTATTCAGAATGTAAAGAGTAAGGTGTTGAAATGTTACTTTGTTGTTTTTGAACAGAACAAAGGAAGTAAACCTGAGGGCATTCATGTAATGTGGATACCAATACGCGTTGTCTCTCCGGAGTAATGTAGTGGGATTAGTGACACAATGCAGAGGTATTTGCAGACACAACTTTAAGCTCTCAAAGGATTTAGGTGTCTTATATTGTAACAGTGTTGTTCGTGTGTATCATAGTTGCTGGCATGTAGCAACGTGGCATTAGCACCATGGGGTAAAAGTCAGGTCAGGAATCACATTCTGCTAAAGGTCTGTTTTTACTCAGCAGACTTCCCTGTCTTGAATTAAAGAATCAAATTGCAGGAAATACTTGCTTAAACCTGTCAGGGAGATTATGTCATAAAATACTACGTTATTCAGGAAATGTCAACAAGTGTTTCTTTGTGCTTTGTGCTCGTACAGCTGTGTGCTGCGATCCTGAAATATGACATCATTACAATCTTCTTCCATTCCTTTATCAGCACAGAAAGTGAAGCCTTTTACTTACAGTTGTTAGTTCATTCATTTTAAAGCTGCATTAAACCTGGGTGGATCATCTGAGAAAGTTATCTGACTATCAGACTCTCAAATCAAATGCGAAATACTCATTGTTCTTTGCCAGTAAAGCATTGGGCTGGCTGTCATTTAATGATTGACGTTGTTTTCTGGGTGTGGTTTTATACAAGCTACCATTGTCTGTCCTTTAAACCAAACCCTGAGCCAGAATGGTCAAACGCTGCAGGCACGCTACGGACTAGCTCCTGCTGGAGATTAAATCAAAGTTGTTCAAATTTGAAGGTGTTTTGAATAACTTAAATCAGAATCCAGAAGAAACCATCAGCAACTTGGAAAACTCAGAACCGTAAAAAATAGAATAACAGAGACATGCACAGATCACTATCAAACCAACACACTATACACAAATGTTAATTAAAAGGTTTCTTCTTTAGGGGCAGAACATTTTGGTCAGCTAATATCGGCTTTGAAGCAATTCCTTAGCTGTTTGGTTAATGTTGGCTAGAGTTACGTCCATTACCCTTTTCTGACTAACATTGCAACAAATCCTTTTACAAAGGTTGGTATATTGTATAAGTTATTTGGTGTTAAGCAACACGAACAATAACTGTGGAACCTGTTTAGACATCAAAACAACTTGGTTAGGTTTTAAAAAAGCATTGTGGTTCGGGTTAAAACAACTACGAAACAGTTTCTGTTAAAGTACATAATTATTGTCACAATCAAGTCATTTTGACTTGTGATTTCACACTGGATATGAAGAGCAGCTCGTCACCATGTACCTTTGGACCTGTCCCGGCTCAGGATCATGTGGGTTATAAAGGAACAGATTAAGTGTGTTAATGTTGAACTGTTACACTTTATGCATTATAAGTATGGACCATGTTAGAGCATTACAGCTCTGCCAGGAGTTTATTTTTCAGGGGCTACTGCCCACAGGTGGTCTTCATCTCTCATCTCATCTTCATCCTCATTTCTACATTTCACGGTGACAGGATATCTTCTCTTTGAAATGACTCAGCTTAATTAGCATACAAAAACAAACTGAATAAAAGCTTTATTACTGCAGCTAAATATTTTTTACCTGACCTAATAGAAGATGTTATGGCAGTTATTGAAAAGAAAAATAATGTATAATAGCTTCTCTCTTTGTAGCTGACTGACCTCTTTATTTGATCAAACGTAGCACAGGGAACTGTTTCTCCCAAGTAGAAAACAAAGCCACTTGCATTTGAGGCACATGCATCAGCTTTCAGTCCAACCTTTAAGTATTGTTTACAAAATAACAAAGTAGTTTAAATCCGATGACTGAACTGATATGACACGTGAACACCACAGGATGACTCCTGACATGGAATTGCAGTCAACCAAAACTGAGGAGGATCAACAAAACTTTGACTCATTCGCCTTTCATCCAATATGGATGTTAGTTATGGGTTTTCTAATGTCAGTGGCACACCCAGAGATCATCCTGGACCTGAAATAGATTGTTGACCAATGTTTTGGTCCAATTAAAACACCCTACTGTATCCAAGATATATAAGGAGTGTACACCGTCATCTCCTAATGATAATTATAGAATACAGTAGCAGTCTTATTCATTTATAATCTGAATTCACCCCCTTATTTAATTTTAATCTTAAACCGAATGTTGACAGATGGCACTTCACCACCCAGTTGATTTATTCTAATAAACTGGTTAAGAAAGAATTTGATAACGTCAGCGTTTTGTACCATTTGGGCGGTTACCCTGACGACATGTTAATCGGCCCCTTTCTTGTCTGATTAATATAATTGACATTAAAAGGTCACTGAGCTCTGATAGAGCAATGGAAACAATTATTCCTCCAAATGGAATGATGGCTCATAACCTCGTTAAGGTTAGATAAAAGACTTGACGGTCATGCATATTTTGAGTTTGCTTGATTATAGTTATAGAAACAGGAGACTTAAGGTTAAGACAATTATAAAAAAAATTAAATTGGGGATGATTATTACAATTGAATAATTAGGACAATTAAATAATTATGAAAGCTGAAAAACTGCATGCTCAACCAGTCACCTGCATGCAATGTGTCCCAGCCACTGAGTATTATTTGTCAGCCATCAAAATCTCATATTTCCTGTGTCAACATTGATAATTACCAGTCTCAATATGTTGCCAGTGTTACCATACTTGCCACAATTGTATATGTGAAGATAATATTGCAATAATACTACGCTAAATTCAACCCTCCCATTAACACTGCTGCATTGTTCTGGTATACAATTCTGCTATCCACGCACATCTACTGATCAACTGATAGCAACAGATTAATCTTTGCTTTGAAATATGCTCTAGGGATCCTAAATCGCAAAATATCAAAGCTGACTTATTTGAACAATACCCCCTGTTATTTCAATATGATCAGATTTCCACTGGTTTTCTCACCATAATAAACATTTGCATGGAATATTCCAGGAAACATTTTTTGATTATTTGCTTAACAACAGGTACAACAGGTTCAACTGGTCTGACGATAGCAATTCTCAGCAGGAAGACGTTGGAGAAACACCCCCTCTGTCAGTTACCCACGTTGTCACGCAGAAACAAGGGACAGGTGACTGACGCGACATTCAAAAGGGCCTGCAGTGATTTGTAGTTCCTTTTACAACACTGGAGCGAACAGCAACCTGTACACTCCTCAAGGCCATGAGATAATATAACCCAAGCTTATTCTCCCAATGGAAACACCGGTAAGGAACATTTCAAAAAAGAATTGACTGTGATTTTATTGAATTTATACTATTCGTGTTCTAGATTTAAAAATATGGTGCTCACATTTGCTATCCTGCCTTTTCCATCCAACTCTGGGTACTGTTGTTGTTATACAATAAGCTGTTGTTATATTGGTTAACATGCATTCGACCTGCAGAAGCTCTCTTCTAAATATCACTGTGTAAAATGTAAAATACAATCAACATTACTGCTTTATTAGGAAAATAATGATCATATGCACCTCTTTATATCTATTGGTCGTTAGTAACATGATTGTAGTCAACTACAATATTGAATGATGAAGTATAAGATAACAAAAACTCTAAACTAGTGTCACAATACCTATAATGACTTATATATAATACCAAACAATGGAAGCTAAGGGATGAATGAAGGCATTGAGGCCATTTTGTGTCATATCAATGGTATGTTGTCTCAAGAGACAGGGCTGACTCAACTGAAGCTAATACAAACATGGGATAAAACGTTGATAAATGGTCAAAAACATGGATGTGTTTGAGTATCATCCGTCAAGATGATGGGACCTCCAAACAGTCAGGCATTGTCCCCAGAGAATCTCAGGTATCGGAGGTGTGTTTGGTCCAGTATGTTTAAATCACATTTTAAAAGGACAGAACAGTAATAGGATTGTTAAATACAAACTATTAAGTATTCCTTAGTTTCAGTTAAATCATAGTTTGTGCTCTGTTTGTCCTCAGGCACACATGGAAATGGCACAAAGAGAGATCCTGGAGCAGCGGACTAAAGATCCAGCGGAGGAGATCACAGAGGAGAAATTCCTTAAAGATCTCTACCTGTTCATGAAGAAGAGAGATACTCCCATAGAGAGGGTCCCCAACCTAGGCTTCAAACAAAGTATGTATTATCAACCTTTATCACATTTTGGGACCCAAGCTGATTAATGCATTTTACTTGTTTTTAGTGCCAAAAATGTCCTGTTATTTAATAATTGACATGGTATTATGAATATAGTTATTTACCTGCCTACTTAATAAACTAATAATTCCTTTTTTGAGAATAGAAATTCAGATTTATAACCATTAGTCAAATAACTGAATAGTTAATTGACGTCAAATCATTTTCACTTGTTTTATATAACTAAGATTACATTTCTTGAAGCACATTCCTCAATCTTCTGAAATCTGAAAAATGTATGCCATTGTAAATGTTATAATTGTAGTTGTACAGACTTTGTTCAGAGAAAACAAACCGTTTAAACACTTAACCTTGAACGGAACCGCTTTTTTCAGATTTCATAGAATAATAATCAATTATTTGATCAATAGAGTTCTGAAATCGCTACATAAATAATAAAGTGTGTTGACTAGTATCTTTTGTCTCTTTTTTCCAGTTGATCTATTTCTGATGTTCAAGGTTGTCAGAGCGATGGGTGGCTACCACCAGGTAATTACATATAAACAATATATCTATGTATTTCTATTAGTGATAGGAGCACTGTTGGGTATTTGTGGGTTAGGCCTATCTGTCGCCACGTGAACTTTTTCATTTCTCAAAATGTTAGGGTTAGATAGTAAAGATTTTGAAAAAAACAAAAAATGTCGCGACAGATAGGCTAACCCACAAGTACCCGTTGTTGATACAGTATTGGGGTTGCTTAGCAGTTGCTAGGCCAAATGTTAGTATTGCTTGGTTTTGGTAACAAAATAACTAGGAATTTATTTAGTCATTGGGATATATTGAAATATAACAGTCACACTAGTATGAAGTCACAAAAGTATCAGCTACTGACCACCGTGCCCTCTGCCAGGTGATGGCCCAGCAGCTGTGGAAACAGGTGTATAACTCTCTGGAAGGAAACCCCCGGAGCACGAGCGCAGCCACGTGCACCCGCAGACACTACGAGAAGTAAGTCTGACAACGGGAGTGTGTTAGTGAGTGTGCTGAGAGGCTTAGAAAAAGGTTTTATCTGATCAATGTGTTGTTTGTGCAGGCTGCTTCTGCCGTACGAGTGCCACCTGACAGGCATCTTGGTGAACGTGGTGCCCCGTAACCAGCCGAAGCACTTCCACTTCACCAGCTTCAGCAGAGAGGACAGCCCGAGGTCGGCCAAACGCAAACTGACATCCGTACCTCTGCCCCAGGTGGGTGGTGTTCACACTCCAAAAAGATACAAGAGACATAGTTTCTCAGAAAATATGAATTCAATAAATATAAGTTAGCAATATGTAAACGAAGTAAATGCATAGTTATATCCTGAAGTTACTGCTTGTGTCCTGAATGCATGTTAAATGGTATATTTTGTGAATTCTTCTAAATAATGTGGTTCTGACAACATGTATTTAAGATTCACATATTCCTATTGGTTAAACCTTTTCTCTTTTATAAAAAATAGAACAATACATTAAAGCAAATGTGTAATTGTAATGCTGTAAAATATGCTTATTTGCTAAGTATGTAGCTTAAACCAGCTCCCGATTAGCCTAGCTTAGCATACAAATGGAAATGGAGTGAAATAGCTAGCAACTACTAACAACTAACAGCTTTTATAAGTTCACTAGCAAACACTTTATTTTTTTTAATCAGTACAGTTGTAATAATATAGCAACCAGTGGAGAACAAGTCCAGCACATATATACTCACTTAAACCCAATATTTGTAGGCAGATTTGGTTTGGTTTGGATGAACCAGCTCTAGATGTTTTCCGATATTTGTATACCTCTTGGCAAATAAATTGAATAAGATTATTCCCTAAAATGTTCCTTCAACCTCTAACACACCCTATCTTTCCAACAGAACCCACACCCTCGTGAGAGTGTCTTCCCTCTGTCGCCCCGCTACCCTCCCTACTATCAGGCAGCTGTCCTCCCCCCCTACGTCCCCATCTCTTCCCCGGTGTTGACACTACACAGCTCCCCACCCCCCAAGCCCTGGTTCCCTTTCCCTACTCACCTGAACCCGACAGAAAGAGAAAAGGAGCCGCTGGAGCAGCTGCGCTTCCTGGCAGATCAGTACAAGACCACATGTTGCCTGCCTGAGCCTTGGGACCTCAGTCCTTTGGGACCTTTGGATAAAGCACAGAGGCGGGAAACCTACAGGACCCCCAAATCATCGTTCAGCCCACCTTCATCCACTAAAACCCCAAAGTTTCTGAACAAGCCCTCCCCTCTGTACAATCCTCGTAGCCTGCAGGTGATGATAAATGATGGATCTGAGACACAAGATGGCGAGGCAAGTTTGGGAGATACATCAATTCCAGAGAAAGCTAGAGAGGCATATGTCAATCAAAAAGCTCTAACCGCCTCAGGCAGCCCCACTGCCCCAACACTGAGGACAGATGAAGGCGTCTCAACTATGGCACAAAGATCCAGCTCTCCAAAAACAGAAGTAACGATCCGTCCGAAAGAAGAGAGAGAAGGGAGTCCAGAATTCACTGATTTACCTCCTGGTCTCCCTCGAGAGAAAGGAGGAAAAATGGAAATTGTGGTACCACTGTCTGTGTTTCATAACTGGCTCAAGCTGTGTGGGTCCTCAGTCAGGATGCATGGACCCCCGCAGGAGGAGCAAAGGAAATGTCCCGACACAGAGGGAGTCCCTACTAATATGGCATCAAACATGAATCACGAACACAGCAACTCCTCAGGTGAAGCTGAGGATCTGACGCTGACGCGAAGGAATTTCCCGAGCCCCAACCAGAGTACCGGAAATCACCACAAAACAAGACAAGATCATTTTACCAACTACAATCCTCAGCATTCAGATATCCTGAAAAGAGCAGCCAGCCAGGATGTGTTTGGTCAGTGGGAAATTAACAAGTCATCCAGCTCCAGACCCACACATTGCTGGGATGCCTTTGACAAAGAGACCCAGGCTGCCACCCTCCCAGTGAATATTGACTCTAGTCCCCGCACAGTGCAGCGAGACTATGCCACCTCCATATCCTGTAATGAAGACACAGTGCAGGGGGGGGGGGAGAAGTCAGACACGGGGTTAGCAGCTATGCTCATGTTGAATTCACCCTCTAATCCTCTGCTGCAGTTCACCACTGAAGAAGTGATGAAGCTGAGGAAAATCATCTCAAGGCCATTGTGAACATCAGTCCAGATGCTCCAACACCACTTTAAAGCTCACATATTGTTATTTCTCACACTGTATATGATTTGTATATAATAACATACGTTTTTACTCAATACTATGGAAGTTTAAAAAAAACTAACAATCATCTGATGTGTAATAATTCATTCATAAGCAGAGATAGATTTGAAGAAAAATGCCCACTCTTGAAAAAAATGTCTATGAATATATACTGTCATTGTATTGTAAATCTAACATTTTAATAAATAAATGAATGTCTGATGTCTCAATTGTTGATTGGCTGATTCTGCACTAATTCTTTTATTTTGAGATTTCCAAAGGAATACATACATGCAGTATGACTCAACACAAAACTAAAGATCAGACTCAATTGGGCTTTAATTGTCTAAGCTTTGTTTTTATTTGTTTGTCATACCAACATATATTTTATGTGGCGCTTACTATTATGTTATTGCCCTGTCTATTATCGTCTTTATTGTTAATCTCTCGAATACGTAGTGTTGGGAATCTTCAGGTGTAAAAATAAAACGGACACTCCAATCATTGTGACTAAAACAACAACTCTGTAATTACTATTATTGCTTGTTCATTGTTCTATAAACATTTTTCACATTCTTTACAGGGTTTGTTTCCCTAACTGTTTTAAAGACTTTATATGCGAAGCAGTTGTTTCATGATTCAAAGATATTGTTGATAAGAAATCCAGCTGGAACATGTTAAGGCAGGTGTGTTTTTATTGCTTCACTCAGAAGCCTCTTTGTGTGGATTTTAAATGTCTCCTTATACTGTAGGTTATCAAAAACCAGAAACTCCTGTGTTTTCAGTTTGTTTTGCCAAAAGTATTTTAGTTACAGAAGTCACACAGATTAACTAGGCGCAGAACAAGCATCAGACCTTTATTTAGAACTATGAAGCCCTTATGACAATATGGAGCTTGCATGTTGCAAAGAGCGGAATAATCAATGTTATATTCAGGTGAAATAATAAAGAGATCAATGAGAAGCAATGATTAAACTCAAGGTTTTATGTCTGCTTTTCATTTTTAATAATATTTCTGGTTGGTTAAACAGTTCAGATTCAGAGAGTTGATAGGAAAATTGAAAAAAGATGATATTAATAATACGTTTTTCCTCGGCATATTTTTGAAATAGCACCATTTACAGTACAATGTACATTTTCGTGACCAGGATTGAAAGCAATAAATGAATAAAATAAGAAAAGTTTCTCACTCCTCCATTGTGACTGTGGCAGGGTCATCAATAACTGTGAAAGAGACTAAGACAACTCTAGTATCATGATGAATACAAGATGCCAGTGTTCTTAAATAGCATTACATCTGCCATGTTTATCAGTTCTAATCTTTTATCGGTCTTATTAAAGTGTCTGTAAAGATTTACTGCAGGGCAGGTATGTCAGGAATTGTTTTTCCAGTGAGTGAACACACACCCCAGTTATAATTACTGTTGATAAAACCACAACATATCTTTCCTGACAGTTGAGACCATTCAGGAACTCTTCAGGTCCGTTCGAAGTGTGAGGTTGCAAATTTCTCATTTTGATATGGTTGGTATGAGGATGAGATCTTATTTAATGTACCGGAACCTGTACAAAAACATATTTGGTCTGACCTATTTAATAGGCTTTATGAAAGGGTGCAATCCCTTCCAGGCAGAAGGAAGTATAATTCACATTTTTCTAGAGCTTTTGCAAACTAAACCAACTTGTTTACAACAATAAATTACCTACTTTGCAAAGCATTTTAAATAGCATCTCAGATTATCTCCAACTCTTAATGCAAGTCTGGGAAATTGTGTAAGCTACTGCTGCATTGATATGGTTGTGGTGCGTTCAACAGAGACTGACTCAGAACTAGAGTAACACTTTAGACTGATGGACAAACACACTTGAGGCATTCAAAGCTACACAAAGCCCACATTGTAAAATATTTGTCATCTTCTTAGCTTGCTACTTCACATATATATCATTCACATATAACTACCAAGGTACAGCCTGTTCTCCCTGACGTCTTTTGACCAATCTCTGGCCTTTCTAGGTACACAAACCATCCTCCTGAACAATATCTGTGGCATTTGACACTCAGGTGCATTATGTGCAGACTTAAACTTGTAATTTTGAATGTTTGCTAATCTAAGAAGTTAAATTGTCTGTTTTTTTTGGTGTGGGACAACAAAACCCACATTGTTCATGAGGAGTAGTGTGTGTTTGAAATGTATTTATCTTGCTTAGCTATGATGTCCCGTGTTAAATCACGTCACTGCTGATCCATTAGGTAAACAAACAACGGTGAACCACACATGACGATTGTTCTTGTTTTTATCCATGATTGAACTGACCAAACTAGAAATAATAATTTGAGATTACAATTTATAAAGCTGTAATGAACAAATAAACCTCCCAAAGCAATTGATGTGACTTCTTTCATTTCATTTTATAGTATTAAACAAACGGAAATAGTAGTACATTTTCAACAATTAAAGACTTACATGGTCTGTCAATCTAAAGCAGGGGTGTCCAAACTTTTTTCACCGAGGGCCACATGCAGAAATATATATGAAGAGCTGTGCCACTCCCTCAAGTTGAGGTATATTGCCTTATAAGTTCAGTTATAAGTTGGAAAAATCAATCCAATGTAGGTAAATTATTCTTGATACTTGAAAATTCTGTTAGAAAAAACTGCCTACATCACAGCTCTCCAGAGGGTTTCATTTATTTTGTTAGCAGCTCATTCCTTAAAACAGAAGCCTCAGATTTCTTTTAATAAAAGGAAATACGAAAGGTATATTTGCAGGTTGTTATGTACATTTGTTATTGAGTTGATGAACATGATTTCAACTTTAATTGACTGAATATATTGGGCTTATTAACACATGAATACTGTGTAATATATGTGAACATATATATTTAAGAAGTACAATATAAGACAAGAAGTTTATTATACTTTCTGAATTAGCTGAGGGCCAATTCAAAATGGTCCGCGGGCCTCATTTGGCCCTCGGGCCGTAGTTTGGACACCCCTGATCTAAAAGAACTGTCAGGTACAACATGTCTCTCATTTATCTATCATCATTGATGATACCGATAAGTTGATATCTCAGCCACGGAAAAATACGCATTGAAAGATGAACATGGTTAAAGCACAAATTCCATTGTCTGTTGTCACGGCAGAGATTATTTTCATTCCTTAGAGTCAGTAGCATATTGTGTGGCTCCGCCTTACGATGCAAGCCATGTTGGACTATCAAAACAAACAAGTGATATAGCGAGTCATGGTGATCATTTTTTTGCATAGAGGAGAAAGTAAATCATATTGGCACATTTGTCCCAGGCTTAAAGGGAGAATGAGAGTGTCTGTGCCATAAAGGCCTACCTCTCCTTGTAGTAGGAAGAGAGCAAAGCGCGGATCTCAACAGATAAATCCGGGATCACATGACCCTCTCCAGGAGCCGAGGGCGTCACTGAAAAGGAAGAGGAAGGAGTCATTATTATTGTTCTGCTCTAAATATATCAAACTCTTTAAACATTTCCCTTTGAGAATAGAAACATGTTGAAGGGGGAATTTAGAGGCACCTTCTTTCCTTTACTGCGATATATTGTCTTTCCTTCCTTGTTAGTTTTTTTTCTCGCAGTACGTCAATAGTTGGAATACTTTTAAACATATCGTTGTTCAAACAACACACACACAGGTGCTGACACATGTTCCACTTGGTTGCTCTTAAAGATGGTTTATTCTGTGGTGACAGATGTTTTTGTCAGCAGATATTCACGTTGACAGTGTCTGGCTCGTTGTCTGAGTTCATGGGCTGTATTATTTATCTCTTTTACATGATGCCATTTGCTCAGGGCTGTTTGTCTACAGGGCTGTTTGCAGATGAAGACACAACAGTACAAATGAGGGATTACATGTCTCATTATACTGTCAGAATGCCAACGACAGGAGTGGGTCATGCCAATCTGCTCAACTCATGTGTTGTATGTTGTAGCTCCTTTGATACAAATACATTATTGCATTCTTTTGCTATTCCATATACCAATTAGCAGACTCTTGTATAAGTTGTTGCTATTGCCATCCATTTTGAATGGACAATGGATCATGTCGCTACTAGTATGTGCATGTGGTAGCTCAGTATGATAAAATAACAAATTGCGGTCAGTCAATTCTGCATTTCCTCCCAGATCTGAGGAGCTAACGTCATTCACATTATTGTACTTTACCGTCTCTGATCACTCTCGCTTTAGACACGATCACCACTCTAAATTAATGTAAATGTTGTTTATTGCCTGCTGGATGTAAAAAAAAGTGTTCTGAGATTCTCCCAAGTGGCATCAAAGAAATCAGTAGCTGCTGCTTTAATTTGATTCAGTATTGTATTTTAAAAAGGGACAATAAGTAGGATTATTTGGTAACAACATTCTAAATTGGCCTCTCCACCCCTTCTCAATGAGGGGGGTTTCCATCTGGTCCAAGTAAACTCCTTTCACTCATGATTCAGGGGAATTCTGTTGAATGAGGATATCACTCTTTAATCAAATCCTTTATATGAACATTTATTTAGAGGTTTCCCTGCAATTTTTTATGTAACTTCAACACAGGTAAAATTAGACCTTTTTTTATTATACAACTCTGGTTAAATTCAAGACGCTGCAAATATAATTTTGTGGAGAAAGAAATGAAAACGAATTGCTTCAATAGATTGAACTGAAACGTAAAACCTTTTTTTAACCAAATGATAAGCTGCCTTGGATACTGAAGGTAAGCCAGAGAGCAGGCGTCTGTTGATTGACATCATTAGAGGTAGTCATGTGACTATGTGATGCATTGTGTTACATTACCTATTTCATGGTATAGCGATCCCTGCCTCGCTGGAATGGCTTTCTTTGAGCTCTGCATTTCAATCTTCATGAGGTGATGACAACACTGTTTCCATTGGCCTGCCAACAAAAAGCAGAAGCAGTGATCTTAAAGAGTGATAATGGTAAAGCTTCTGCCAGTTATTTGATTATCAATTTCTGTCTCTCTGTAATTAAGCTGTCAAATCATATTAACGATGTACTTTCTCGATTACAAAATCAGCGTGAGATTCTGTGACATACTGTTTATACCATAGACTGTATATATAAAGGTTTATACCAAACATATAGAGAGACAATGGTACACCTGTTGTACCACATACCAGGCAGCTTTAGACAATCCATGTGTCTGTCTGCAAATACAGATACTGTCGATCTAATTGAGAGCAATTACTTGTAT